ATGACTAAAATGTTAAAGAGCATAGATGTCAGTTTAACATTAAGGTGTAAGTCATGGTATTTCAATTGCTTCCTATGCATCTGAAAGTTGGGCAATGAGTAAGGATAACAGAAGAGTCGATTTTTGAATTGTGACATTGGCAAAGAGAACTAAATATACATTGGATGACCAAAAGAACAAATAAATCTGTCTTGAAGCCAGAGCGAGCACTCTTTAGAGGCAAGAATCATGAAAGTTCGTCCCGCTACCCTTGGACACAGTTTCAGAAGGAAGCAGTCCTTGGAGAGAGATATCATGTTGGGAAAGGTAGAGGGTTTTCAAAAGAAAGGATGACCCTCAACAAGATGGACTGAGTGACTAGCTCAACGGGCTTGAACATGGCAGAGAACATGAGGATGGCACAGGACAGGGCAAGGCTCAGATATGTTACAGGGTCACTATGAGTCATAGTTGACTTGATAGTACCTTTCCAAGCATGACGTGATTTTCCAGGGACCAGCCCCTTCTAAGAACATGCCTGGGGTATATGAAAAGCTTCTTCCAGCTAGATTTGTTTATTCTTTTGTTTGTTTTTGTTATTTACCATCGAATCGGATCTGACTGGCACAGGAGGTGATTGCCCCTCCTTCTCTAGCACAGCCTCTGGTGGATTCGAACCACGCACCTTTGTGATTGCAGCGTGGCTTTTGCCACTAGGCCACCAGAGCTCCCGTCCCATCTTCATTTTAAACCATGTAGGGTTTCATTGTTCTGTTTGCATTGCTTATTCTTTTTCTTGCCTTTAATCTTCCTTATTCATCATTCATTGTCCAATCACTACATACATATGAAGCAATTGAAAATACAATGACTTGGGTCGGGTGCACCTTGGTCTTTAAAGTTACATCCTTGCTCTTTAAGTCTTTACTGAGGTCCTTGGTAGCAGACTTGCCTGCTGAAATATATTGCTGGATTCCTGCATGGTTGCTCCCACAGGTGTTGATTGTGAATCCAAACAAAATCAAATCCTTGACAATCTCAATCTTGTCACCACTTATCATGATGTTATTGGTCCATTTGTGAAGCATTCTGTTTTCTTTTTGTTAAGGTACAATCCATACCAAAGCCTGTGAGTTTCACTAGTGAAAATAATAGACAAGAAACTCCTGTCCTAGCAGAACCCACAATCTAACTGAGAAGACCATAAATACACTACTTAGAACTAGAATCATGTTAGAAAGCAGTAAGCATTTGGGGAACAAAGAGAGCAGGAAAGGGGGGTAAAAAGTGTGAGGTCATGAGGAAGTTCGAGGATATCTGGGTACAAGAGCTCAGGCTTGCCCTGACTGAGCAAAGGTGGAGAGGAGGGGGGATCACAGTCAAGTTCAAGTGAGAAGACTGTGAGCGCACAGGGGACAGTTAGTTGGGGGACATCAGAGAGGGAAAGACGTCTCCAGATCAAAGGATGCTTGTGGATTCTGGTCAGCGCTTAGCTTCTGCTCTGACAATGAGCCCTGGTGGGCTTTGAATACAGAGGAGTGATGTGGTCTCAGCCACCTTTTAACAGGATCACTCTGGCTGTTACAGAGAAAAGATTGAAGGGACAAGGGCAGAAGAAAAGAAGTAAGAAGGTTGTGGCAACATTCCAGGTGAGAGGTGATGGTGTGGGACCCAGGTAGGAGCAGAGGCAGAGACGGTAGGAGTGAATTATGTTCAAGTGAAGAGCCAAGGGTGACTCCACCACTTTGACCTGAGCAGCGGAAGAACGGAGCGACCAGGAATTGAGATGTGGAATATTGTGGTAGAAGCTATCAGAAATGCAGTGTTTAACATGCTAACCTTGGGATGCCTACTTGTCAGCGGGAGTGTTCATCAGGTAGTCAACTACATAAATCTTGGGTTCAGGGGAGATGGCCCAGACTGAAGATAGAATTGTGGGTGTCACAGCATATAGATGTTTAAGCCTTAAGATCATATGAGAGCCCTAAGAAATGCAAATGTTTCAAGAAGGGAGTGACTGGCAAAGTAAAATCTACTGATGTGTCAAGAGGAGGCGATGAGTAAGTAAATTTCAGGTCCAATTGAATCTACAAAGCACAGCTGAGTAGTAAGAGCTAACTGGCAAAAGATGGATAAAGCCTTCTTCCCACTTTCTAAGAGAGACAAAATGGGCCTAAGTCTCCATGAACACTGGAGACACAGAATGGAAGAACCATGATTCTCAGTGTTGGAAGGACCATGAAGGGACCATTTTATTTTGCTCTTCTCCCTACCCAAGCCTGATGATGATCAAACTGCTGGTTCTAGAACAAGAAATATTTGTCTGATGCTGAGGTCACCAGTCTGTCTAGGACAGTTAGAGAAAGCACAGTTGAAGAAGAAAGGAGGGTCAGTAAACTCAAGAAGGCAGAGGCTGAGGGAGGAATGAAAGGACTGAAGAAATAACAGAGAAAAGAACCAAGGGGTACGGAGGCAGAAAGATACACTGGGACGCAGACACGGGGACCCTATTGAACCAAGTGCCTCCATGGGGCCCCAGGTGAGCAGGAGAGTAGAGACCACTGGTTCTGAATCCAGAAGGCCAGCGTGCAGGTCCTGCTGCCGTTACTCTCTCACTTCATGTGGAGATGTCATCCATACCGGAAGCGACCACCATCACGTTCCTCCCAGTCCCTCAGCCCCAGTTTCTCCACATGTAAAACGGGAGCACACAAATCTTTGGGTTCCTCCCCAAAAATGATTAGAAGACTGGATGTGGCATTGCTTGGAGCCTATGTCCTACCTGGGTTGGTTATCCCAAGAGCAAGGGAAGGAGGGTGAGAGAGATGAACCCAGTGGGCAGCAGCAAGGGAAGCTGAGATGAGGAGGAAACGACCGTGCCCTGAGTGGTCAGGCATGTGGGACAGTCAACTAGGATTTGGGATAGGACCTGGGTGACAGGATGAAGCCATCTGAGTAAACTCTGGAGAGGTGGAGGAGAGGCCTTGACTTCGCCTGCATTGTGCCTGGGACGGAACTGAAAGAGACCCTGAAGTAATCACCAGGAAAAGAATTAGAGGCACTGAGGCAGGAGACACCGGGGCACTAAGAGAACAAGCGCCCCAAGAGGTGTTTGAGGCGACTGCGGAGGAGCGAGGCACCGGGGCGCAGAGCCCAGCTGAGAGCTGCTCCGGCACGGCTCTGGGTCGGGGAAGGGGTCCCAGGGCGCGCGGGGCAGGGGGTCCCTGG